TAAATAAAACTTTATTAACAATTTATTTTAGTTCATCCAATTGATTTTTGGAGTAAACATGATGTACAAAAATGGATTGAATATTGTATCGATGAATATTCATTAGGTGATGTTAATTTAACTGATTTTGAAATGAATGGTAAATTTTTCTTTTTTTCTTTCGTATAAAAAAAAAATAATAAGTTAAAAAAACTTTTTTTTATCTATAAAGGTAAAGCATTATTATTATTGAATGAAGACAGTTTTAAACAACGTTCTCTTCGTTCTGGTGATATCTTACATAAAGCTCTTCAGCAACATAAAGCTATGCTTAAATCATGGCAATGTCAAGGTTAGTTTCTTTTCTTAAGAAATATTTATTTTGAATATTAATTAAAATAAATCTATTTTTTATAGCATTTCCATATCAATTATGGAATAATTTTGGTTTTCCACCTTCACCATCATCAACACGTCGTTATAATATTCCTCCGCCACCACCTCCATCATTACCTCTTTCATCATTTCATTCAACTGCTGCCGGTGTACATCAACATTCAGCTGCTGCGGCTGCTGCTGCTGCTGCTGCTGCTTGTATGCATCCAGCATTTAACTATATATTTAGTCGTCCTGAAACAATACCGAAATCATCTTTAATTAATCATCAAACGAATTATTTTCATATAAATCAACAACAACAACAACAACAACAATCAACACGGAATCGAGAAATATCAGCTTCTTCTTCATCATCATCATCAACATCATCTTACTGTCCAGATGTAGCATCAGGTTTGTTTGGAAAGAAAAAGCATTTTCAATTAAAATATAGTGAAGTTTTCTATTTCTTGCTTTCTAGCTAAAACATCACATAAATCATATGAAAAATCTGATGTTAATCACCCGGTGCATGAATCGATGGGGATAAAACGTGAAGCATTATCACCTGGCATTCAACAATCAAATCGTCAACTAACACCAAATAGTTCACCTATAACAACAAGAATTATTAGTCCATCAATAAAACAAGAAACTCTAGAGGATGAAGATGTTGATATTGAACAACATGAAACTGTTCCAACACCACCTATAACATCAAGTTCACCATCATCATCTCCTCAATCATCATCATCAGGTTTATCGAAATTAAATATTTTAAATAATCCAACAATACCATATAAAATTCGTTCACAATTATCAACAAGAATGAAGCATCAACCAAATGATGTAACAAATACAGGTGAAACTAATCGTGATTTAGATGGAAATAGTCTTGTAAATGATAATACTAGACAAATACGTTATTATCATGATCGAATTGATTTTCGTGGTGATATTTTAATGAAACCACCAGCGGCAAAAAGTATTATTTTCTTATTTCTTTTTTTTTTCTGTGTGTTTATAATTAATTTGCCTTTTTTTTTCGTTTAGATTGTCGTATTCTATGGGAATTTTTATATATTTTACTTGAAGATCCCCATTATGAATCAATTATTCATTGGGAAAACCGTGAAAAAATGATTTTTCGAATCATTCAAGCTGATAAACTTGCTGCTCTTTGGGGTATGTATATCTTACAAATTATTAAAAATTAAACATCGTAGCCATAAGAAGTCCTGCTATCGAATAAAAAATTACATAGACTTCAATCGTTTCACCCGACATTTTTGACAACAAATAGAGCTCGGTAAATCTTGATCACAAACAGTACAATTCAAAGTTGATAAGTCTTAATTCAAGGGATTTACGATAAAAACACTTTTTTTTCCTTACGACTTCAAAAAAAACTTCTCTGATTTTCCATTATGTAAATATCTGACAAATAGGGGTACTGCAATTCACTGTAATCTTGAGATATAAGAAAGCCATCATTGTCTGAGACGGTCTTTCCATGAATCTTTTCTCCATTGATAATTGCGATCGTGAAATTTTCAAGGAGAATTTGATTAGGACAGGATACTCCTTGAAGAAATATTAGTCAGAGATATCAGTTACTTTTCAATAATACTCATAAATTAGACAAACTAAAACCGTTTGACATGAAGTTTTTATCAGTGATAGAGAAAGCACTGAGCTTTTGAATGAGGGGATCTTAAGTCATAGGATTTATTTTCTATATTGATATATCCTTGTCTGAAGAAGAAAAAACCCTATGCTAACCTTCTATCTCTTTCGTATGAAGGCCGGCCACGTCTTGATTAGTCCTTCAAATCAAAGTTCGACGTTTTCTATTCATAATCAAAATATGACACTAAAGAATTAATGTTTACGAACTTTTTTACTTGGTAGCTGAACTTTTTCCGACTACTGTAATCATTTCATTTAAAAAAAAACCCATCAAATATACTTTTTTGTTTATTTTAGGACTTCAAAAAAATCGTTTATCAATGACTTATGAAAAATTATCACGTGGTATGCGATATTATTATTCAAATAATATCATATCAAAAGAACAATCAAAACGATTACTTTATCGTTTTATGCGTTCACCAGATGAAATTCGAAAGAGTATGAAACGTACTAGTGGTACAACAAATATGGTTTATTCACATTTAAGTAAAAAACCTACACTTGCATATCAAACGACAGCTAGTCCTGATGTTCAAGAACCTAATATAAAATATACTCCAGGTAAAATATTGAAACACAAAGAAATAAAACAAGTTCAACTTTTATAATAAATATATAATTATATTTTTTAATTTTAGACAATGATGATAATTCATCATCATCAACACATTATACAAATCAACCATCAACACCAATAAATTCTACTCTTCTTCAATTATTTTCAATTTATTCACCATCTACAACATCCATGGTACATAATTTAAATCCAAATACGGCTTTATTATATACTCCACGTAATGTTAACAATAATTCATCATCATCGAACATTCCATCATTTGATACAAAATCATTGCCATTATTAACAAACATTGTAAAAAGTGATCGATCAAATTCATCATCACCAGATTCATTTGATAGTAGTCGTGATCGTACAAGTGACAGTGAAAAACAACATTGCAGTCCATCTCAATCATTATCATCATCTACATCAACATCATCATATTCAACATCAACCAAACGTAAACAAGCTGTTCCATTATCATTAACAGCTCGTCTATCTCATCAACATCATCATTTAGATCAACCACTTAATTTAGCTGCTAATAAAGAAGAACATACAATAGGAGATTGTAAGAAACAAAAAGTTATTTCATCTCCGTCCATTGCATGATCGAACAGTTTTCTTATATTTTCTTCCTATTCTTCGGAACAGTCGAATACTATGCCATTCTATACACATTTTAAGCATCACCTTTTTTTTTCTGTTTTGTTTTGTTGGTTTTTTTTGTATAAAATCTATTGTTAGACCAGTAGAGCTGTAGATCAGTGCGTGTGCATCATTATTCCATATCGTTTGTTTCATTTTTTCCTTTCCACCATATCATATGCACTATGTGATAAGAAATACTGTCTAAAAGAAAACAGGAAAATCAAAACTTTTTTTTTTGTTTTTTTGTACATTCCTTGTGCTTGATTTATTTCTTGTGTTTTGTTCTGGGTGCTGATTGCTTATGATGAAACTTCCTCCTTTTTTTTTTTTTTTTGTTTGATCATTGTGGTTTTGTTTATGTATCTATGTCCACATGATGGATGGGAACATCCACCTGAAAATAGAAACAAGAAAAGTGTATATTGTAGTTCATACTTGCCTGTTTGTTTTTTCTTTGCCTATATTGTTTTCTTTTCTTTTTTTTTCTCAATCAGGTTGTTATCGTTGCTTTTTTTTCTTTATTCTTTTTTTTTCTTATGCATATCGCAAACATAATGAAGTCTTCCCGAGTTTTGATCAACGTCTTTTTCTTTTTTTTTTTCTTTTCCTATTTGAACATGTTCTTTATTATGCCACAATGTTATTCACTTGATGATAATCAAAAGGATATATACTTGTAATTTCTTTATTATAAATTCAAAAGAAATGCGAGAGTTTATTTTATTGAATTATTGATCATAATGTGTATAGTGATGGACATAAGCTTAGAGCAGTTGTATATTTGAGTTTTCTTTTCGATGAGAATAGCTAGGAAGAATCTGAAAAAAAAAACATTTGAGTAAATAAAACAATTATCTATGAGGATTGATGGACATAAAAATTCCATTAAAAACTGCTTGGATGAAGATGTTCAAAAAACTAAGACATCCTCAAAATCAGTTTTCTGGCATTCATTTGAAGCTTTATGGAAATGATTTTATTTGATAGATCAAATAGTTTTGAGTAAAATAATTAGAATGTCTCTGCTCTCTCTATGACCTTCATTCATCAAATTTTATTCAATTAATAGAAGGCCACAAAGCGTCACACACAGTAAAATAATTAATCAAAATTTTCCATAAAAATGAAAGAAAAATGCTTCTTGAGTCTTCAATAAACTGAATACAGCTCGATAAAGGAAGATCATGAAGAAAGTGGAAAAATTTTATTTTACTTATTTTTCCTAGTTATTATCATCGGAAAGAAAACTCAAAAATACAATTTCTCTAAACTTTGATTCATCAGTTACAGATGAGAGTACATTCTACTGTTACGTTATTATAAATAGTATATATCAATTTTTAGGAAAGTACATTCAAAATGATGTTCAAAATATGGAACAAGAATAACTTGTATAAAATGTTAGTTAATTATAGAAAAAGTTGCTTTGAAACTGATGAATTATTTTGACTTTTCTTTTTGTTTCTTTTGAATTTTATTACAAACGGAAGTAAAAAATCGGAAGTTGTGATTTAGATCTAAATCTTATGATTTTAGTATCAGATATAAAACGAGCATTAACCTTCACATCTGATTTATTAAACTATCGTTTTCGTTCTTCTTCTATTTTTTTATTATGTATGTTACGGTTGAGTGTTTTTCTCATTATATTTATGAATAATAATGAGTAAATCGTCATTTTTTTGTAGAAGAATCTAAAGTTTCGTTAATTTGACGCGTAACATATGAATATTTTAAAGCAATGACAACATCTCAATCTGAAGCAAAACGTTATTTAATTGAGGAAAAATATTTATCATTAGATAATAGATTTACTATAACAGATGATTTGGGAAATATTCATTATAAAGGTAATTCAACATTCTTTGCGATAGGTGATAAACTTTTACTTACTGATGAACAAGGCAATGAAGCAATTAGAATTCGTCAAGAAAGTTTTCACATTCATCTAACATATAAATTATTTTCTGTTCGTTTTGGTGGTACTGAACATCAAATAGCATTAATTAAAAGAATTGGTCCATTACGGCAACAGAAATTAGAAATTAGTTCTAATGATGGTGAATATATATTGCAAAAGCAACATGGTCTATCCTCGAATGAATTTACTTTAACGAAAGATTCTAGTACCGTAGCAGTTGTAACAAAAGATGCTTCGCCTACAAAAAGCTTTTATTGGGTAGATATCATCGATAACAAAGAAAATCATGCATTTATATTAGCTATTGTGATTGTTCTTGCATGTGTACAACGTTCACCAACTACTCATATTGCAATGCCACTTATGAATTGAAATCAAGTGCAAAAGAACAACATTCTACTTTCTGTATAATTAATATTGTCTAATTGATTATACATATATATATATATATATATATTTATATGTCATGATATTAAAAGATTATTAAATATCACTGAAAACACATTCATTGTACTTTATAATAGATATATTTATTTAATAAAAACATCAAAATTATGTTTTTCTTATACTTATTGTACTTCCTGCAATAAATACTTAAATTTTTATGTCATCAACATTATGATTGTTTGAAAATACATTAAAATTGTTCATGTCTTTCATTCGATTTTGTTCTTCTTTTCTTTTTCATAATGTGATTTAATTATTTTGTAAAATTAAACACAAAAGATTTAAATGTTATAATAGTATTGGATTTTCTTTAAATATATATCGCTAAAAATTCCAATAATATTATTTTCATAAATCATTTAAAACAGACTATATAAATATATTTTCGAATAAGATAGATCATTTAGAAAATATTCTTTTTTTCTTGGTATTTTTTTATGCTAAACGAAATAGACATGAAATTCATTGTGACAATCAGGGTGTGGCTGTGGATGTAAATGTAGAAAAGACCCAATTCTATGCCATCGATACGCTTTTTTCTTCCAAATAATCAACGAAAATAAATCGTCACACAAGAAAAACGCTAATAGGAATATATTTTTTTATGTAATCAATGAACAGTAAATCCTCAAAAGCGAAAATTTGTACTTTTTCGTGAAGAAAAAATAATCAACGAACAGTAAATCGTACAAACCGAATATTTGCCATAGCGAATAATTGAAATTCTTTTCCAATAGTGATAAATTTTCTATTTACTATATACAAATTTATAAGAGATGAAAACCTACTAATTAGAAGACAGAAAGCTCAACGAATACGAGAAGAAAGTGTAACACGGCGACGACAACAACAACAAGAACAAAGATGACTATGTCAACAACAACAGTTGAAGCTGCAGGAGTAGCAGCGTCGGTGTCGAGAGCTACGTCAACGACGATACGAGCAATGGCAAGAACGTGTATATGAATGACAGATGCAACGACNGAAATGTTTTCTACTCAATTCATAGACAAGTTTTCCGTTAAAAAGTGTCCTTTGGTTATTGGAATTAGGCAACAATTTGAGTACGAAAGAGATGGATTAACAATATCTGAATATCAATTTGAAACATTTGTTAAAAGTAATACTTTATCACGTAGTGAAATCAATGCTAATCATAAAATTCTATCCAATGAATTGGTTATTTTCAAAGAGAAATGCGATGAAAATGAACAAAATTTAGTGAGTGTTTTGTTTTTCATATTGATTTTCTATGAAAAAATGATTCATTTTAGTCATTTAATTTCGTTAAAAAAACTCGTCTTTGTTGGGATATTATACTTGAAATAGCGCAATATCTTCCGTTAAATGATGCGATTTCTGCATTCTCTATTCGTATTCTTTTTCTATTACAAAATACTCAATCAAAATTTCAGTTGTCTAATCCATATGATCCATTTGTTAAAACGATTCTGCCAAAAATAAAAAAAGAACAAATCATTTCGTTACAATCAAGTGAACATCGGCTGCATTTAGGCATTGAAGAAGACTTGTTATCTAAGTTTAGAGACGTTTTTTCATTAAGTCTTCACAATTTATTACTCTCTTATCGAATGTATACGTATAAGAGAATGTGCCCCAATTTGACTCATGTCTCTTTCAGCTATGACATGGAAGTTGAGTATAAGTTATTCAATGAACTATTAGATGAACTTAAGAATAAAATTAAACGATTTGAAATTCATTGTCCAGGAATATTTGGTAATCAAACTGATGTGGATTCATTAAAGCAAATGAACAAAAAAATGACAAGCATTCAATACTTTTTACTTGACATCGGTCACCATTCTCTGACAGCAACAAACGAACACCTTCAACATAATAAACCATTTGTTGTTTTTATAACAAGCATTGGATTTATAAGTCGAATGCCTTGCATACGATATATTCATTTAATTATCAAAAACTATGATGTTGAACACTTTTTGGATGATGATCAATGGAAAATTCCAGTAGAATTATGTTCTAGTTTACAGAAAATAATATTACAAGTGTTGGGAAATACATTTCACAGGGCATGGTGGATAAACGAAGTGTTGGAAATCCAGACGACATTACGTATTATACGACCAACAATCAACTTTCAAATTTATTTTTCATAGTTTCCTTTTGTTTCAATGTCTACGTGTCATTTTCTATTACGCATACATGTATGTAGGATTCTTTGATATTGGTTGAACAGGCACATTTTTTTGTTTTAGTTATAAATAAAAATAAAGCAGCAACATCGATTTGTTTTTCTTTCGCATTGATTTCAAAAGCATAAAAGTTGATTTTTGATAAACTTTCTTATTGATAGAGACGATATAATTAGTCCTCACCATGAAGATGTTTTTTCAATATGCCAATATAATGCCTCATCAGTATCTTCCAATTAATTCTTCAAAACATTTTCTTGTACGAGTACTCATCCTCTCTGTAACTGATTAAAAGGATCGTTTTCCAGCTGAGTGTAACATATGATAACTTCAACTGGCATAAGTATTTAGATGCTTTATTAAATTCCTGCATCCCTTACTGTTACAAAATTAAAAAGTTCATGGTATTTTTCTTGACTTCACCTTCTTTAAAGTACGAGATCTCCTGATTAAGACTATGTACAACTCGTTTCATTTCATTAGAATCAGTTGAACGTTCCCGTTTTTGGCTCTCTCATCTGCACTTATAGAATGCTGAAAGCCAACCAGCCGGTTTCGATCCCGAGCCTTTACACTTATCTCTAATAGAAGAAAAAAACGTGAGATTTTTCGAAGAGGTCAAAACCACCGTTGAGATATATTAGGCATTATAAAGATTTCTTAGCAAAAGTCGGCTTGAATTTTCTTTCGTCCAATATATATCTCTTTATTTTGGATGTTCAGTCTCTGGTACCCTCGTCTAATACGAAGCATCATTAAAAAAAAAAGTATTGACTTCCTTGAATGATCTTCAACGGTAACTAATAGTCTGCGAACATTCAAAGTAGAGATTTCGGTCACTAAAATTTCATAATTTACCGCGTACTTGAACAAAATCACATCGTAAACTGTTGATGAGTTCATTGACTGCCTTGACAAAAGATTAATGATAGCGAATAGTCTTAAATGAATCACTTTTCGGAAGAAAGATATCATTTCTTTGATTTCCTACATAGTTTTTGGTGCCATATTTGAATTTTAACTAATCAAGCTGAAGAATATATTAACTGTGTACTTTCGAGATTTTTCACCCTGAAAATATGATTCTTTCAAACTTATACGTAGACTCATCCTTATATTCTGACGTCAATCTGTTATTGAAGCTATAAAAAGTCGTTCTACAACAGAGGCCGAAATGGGGAGCATTTTTGATTCCTCGCCTGGCCCCGCCCCGGTTCAATTTTTTTTCTTGAGGGTGTCATCACATATTTCTGAGATATGTATATATTACCGTCAAATGATTTATTTGACTATGTGTTAAAAAAATTAATTAGAGCATGACAAGAAAATAATTCGAGATCAACCCATCGTTTTCTTTGACATGCTTTATCCTACAAAGACTGGTACTATTATTGGCAGCTGTTAGATCATGATAAAATCTTCCATCGATAACTTCACCTACTACCGATAACTTTCTTTCAATAACAGCTGAGTTGCGTGACTTTTAATATATATAACACGCTAATCTCAACACATATACAGCAAATTTTTCGTATATCTGCAAAAATGAAGCAATATTAATTACCTCAGTGAAATCAATTCCCAACTTTAACGCAAGTAAGCACAATACAATTCTAATTTTTGAGTTAGTGTGTGATTGCAGTAGCTGTATGAACTGTGGATGAAAATATATCGCTAGTAATGTATGCAGCAGTGGCTATTGATAGCGTCTGATCGACTGCTATTATCAAATTACACAGCCAAAATATATCGTGCTAAGGTTAAATTATGTAAAATTAATTCTATAGTTTATTGACATACTCTCTTTTACATTAGCATTTAGCCTTTCTTTGCTATATCAAACTTATTGAATACCAGAAAACCGTAAGCTGCTAAACTACAAAATTATAACCGTTTAAAAACCAACTTTTCCAAGTCTGATGGAGTTCAGAAAATTCTTTCTTATTCTAACACATGTAAAATTGCTTTATGTATCTTGTTGTGTCTTTAGGTTTATATAATTTTGATTTCCTCTTCGTGAAAAACTGAAAAACATTATAAATACGATTTCAGGCCACGAATTGAGACTTTTGTTCAGCAATTTTGTCCTGCGTTATACTGAGTAAAGTAATACTTTCTGCATCATCAGACGCATAACTTCAAGCTCCACAAGGTTTACTTCTTCACTACCCATGTAAAAAAAACGACTCAAAATTAGATTATAATGGATTATTTTCGGATTAATAATCTATTATAATGGCACTATTTTAATCTGATTAAAATCAGATTTTTCAGCATTAAAAGAAAAAACAATTTTGATTTTAATCTATTATAATCGATTACCGCAATTTAATCCATTAAAACTGATTGTTAAATTTTGGTAATCGATTATAATAGATTATAATCTGATTTTTGGGCGTCTTTTTTTTACATGGGTAGAGTAATGCTTCTTTTCTAACTGAATAACCAAACTTAAATATTTCCCTTGGCATGAAAATGCATAAAGATTTCATAATTCGGTATATTTAGTATGTAACTTTTATAAAATAGAGCCTTGTAGAAAAAATTTTGCTTTGTACCTATGAAATTAATGTGCTTCTTTCCTATTGACAGTTTTTTGACAAAGTGTAGAAAGCTGCTTAATAAATATAGTGCCGTTCGATTTCAGGCAAATATCTATCAGTATATGTTTTGTTGGCGTCAAGCAATACCAATGCTGTAGAGAAATGGAAAAGGCCGTTTAAAAAGGAACATATCAATAAACTCTAGACAATGCTCTCTATATTAAAGCACTTGAATTAGTAACTGCGCCATGATTTTTGATCAGGAGGACGTGAAAGGAGTCTTAGTCCTATTGTTGAAGCATTTTTTTAGGAACAACTGTGATAATTTTCCGGGAAGCTAAGCAGCGCCACCACTAAGATGAAGCAAAATTTTAGATCCGATGTAATTTAAGAAAAAATAATCTATCAACACCCACCCTATTACCTCGGTCACATACATTGTTTATTTACCATCAATGATGAACATAGAATTCAACAGAAACTGTACCTTTAGCATAAAACTGTATATCTGTATGAACATGCTGAGACTTCTATCATCAGCAATAATAACGATTATTCAGATACATGATCTATATTAGTGATGGAGTTGGTTCATATTTTCGAATATTTGACTTGAACTGAAATTGAAATGTCTAAACTCGAATCAAACGAAATATGAAAAGAAATTATTAAAACTATAGAAGTTTTATTTCAACTCGTTCGTCATACTTCAAACGTTTTATCTATTTCTAATATATACATTTGGCAATATTCTCTCTTTCAATTTTCTAGTTTTATGTGTCTGAACACATATTTAAACTGTATCGACTTAACTAGCAAATAGATTAAAAAATAATTGATCCTATCTTCGGGAAATCTCGGGAATCTAACTTGAGCCCCGCCCTGTATCATGTCGCGTTTTGGTCTCTGGTATGAACGTAGATATTTGTGTCCTTTTCATTCCACACCCATACTGTATCAGTTAATTAACTAACTATCTCTTACAAAGAAAAGTAATCAACAGACTGGCTTGTTAATTACTGGATGCGGGTATGACTGTTCCTTTTAAAGGTAACCATACCGCCCATATCCTCAAGTAAAAACGAAGTGTGGGGTGTGGGTGTAAGATGAAGAGGACACAAATATCTACGCCCACACCCCTACCCAACCACATCCTGTCGAGTACAGCATGAGTAAACCAGAACTCAAACTTGTTCAATTGAGACAATATCGTTTCAATAAAATTTTCGTATTGAGAACAGTCAAATAATAAAGGATCAGTTAAATCTGTTTGTGAAATCAGTCGAAGATGCGTTAACCTAGGTAAAAATGAAAGTAGCGATTCAATAATATCGATTGATGTCACAAAACAAATGCTTAACGAGAGTGAAGTCAAATGGCTTGACTGTGTCATATCAACATGTGTAACAATAAATTCGTTGAACTGATTCGTAGGAACAGATTTCAGAACCAATGTGGGAAGATGATGTAGATGACCAATAATAGAGTATAATGTATGCCAACTGCATTGAGGAAGTGTTACGTGTTGTAATGCACATGACATGGGCCATTGTATATTATTGATAATCCAATCATTTTCTTTGAGTTCACATTTACGAAGCTGATTGTGCGATAAAATAGATGATAACAACACTATTATTTTCTCGTTAATAGTGAATAAGGTGACATTGAGAATGTTGCAAGAGGATACTTCATGATATGTTTCTGAAATTTATTCAAATCTTCTTCGCTTACATCAAAGAGAGTTAATGAATTTAATAGAATTAATTGGCCAACACGAAGGTGAGAAAGAAATTATTGAATTTGACCTTGCGTTTCTCTTTCATCCGACGGCGTAAGTGAAATAATATTTCTAGGTTTAATAATACGTGCCATGATAGGTAAATCAGATTTTGACATATAATGGAAGTCCAACTCATAGTGATTGTAAGCATTAGCAGCAGAATAGAGTCACATGCACAGGCGACGAATTCAAAAAAATAATTGTCTCTGCATCGAGTTCATCGAAAATTCGATGAACAAGCTCGACGGATAATATGTCAAAATAAGATTTCTTTATAGAACAAAAAGAAAAAGAGCATGTGCTCGTACTCGTATTTATCAAAATATTGAGAAAGTAGCAAAAAATTTATTCATAGATACACTTTCCTAATGTTTCACAATGAAAATGCAATATCTTGTACTTGCAATTAGGGTACGTGTGCATGTCAACTGATCTCCATAGCTGAAGCAATTGTCATGGAATCTTTTAAAATATCAGAAAATGATGTAATTAATATAAACCGAAATGCATATGATGTATGACTACAGAAAGTGTAGGACATTGTATTCTTTCGATTGAATCAGATTTTAATAAACACTATTATATAAAAATACATAGTTGATTAATTATTAGAAATACAAACTGTTTGTTATCGTAGTATTTTTTTTTCTCTCTCGTATATTGACTCTAAGAATAAGTTTTCATATAATAATCGAGATGTTACTTTGAGTGTGGATGTTCGTAAAGAATATATCCACGTCCTCTTCCTCTATCTATCCGATAATGCGCTTGTTTCACATGAGGCTAAAGCTACATAACATTGTTGGATGGTGTAGTTTTGTCCCAAAACACTCTTGTCATACGTCTTCTGTTCTGATGAACGAAAAAAGTAAGAAAAAAACCAAATGACTGAAGATTTCTACGATGAAATATAGTTAGAAAAAAGAAAAACAAAGTTTAAATAAAATTAACTCAATAAAAAAATCCGTCGTTGTCCAATAAGAAGACAATCACAATCTTTTATTGGATTTATCAAACACAAATTTATTGAATTATTCATGAAAGTTGTTTCTCGTATTTCTTTATAAACGATTCTTGATTTTGTCTAATTAAAATCATTTGCTCTTGAATTTCATCGATTTCGAAAATCTTGTGAATCTTTGCATAAANGCAATAAAACGACGTAAAAGCCTAGTATATATCTTTTTATGCACTCCTTGTTTGAAACATACACTCATCATACTAGATCTCAGTCGTAATCAAATAAATGCACAAGAAGCACAATACCTTGTCAATGCTCTGCAACAAAACCACGTAATATAGCTATTGTCTCATTTTATCATTTATCTGTTATTCAAAACAGACACTCATTACACTAGATCTCACTGGCAACTCAATCTCTCATTACGGAGTTCAACACTTTGCCGAGGATCCTCTAGAAATTCACGTAATATGATTAGTTTTTCATTTTATCTTTCATTTCACTATTAATAGAGGCGCTGACTTTATGGTAGAACACGTATTATTATCAAATCGGCCTTCACGGAGCACAAAATGTTGCCATCACTCTCCAACAAAGCGAAGTAATATTGGCAGTTTCTCATTGTTTCATTTATACCTCTTTTGAAACAAACACTCAGCACACCGAACCTTGTTTCGAATCAAAATGATTGTAAAGGAGTGCGACATCTTTAATTAGTTTTAAATAAACGTGTTTTTACAGCTACAATAAATGAGAAATACAGAGTAAAACTATTTTTTTTTGAGGAGATATATATAGAGAGAAAACAAAAACGAAGAAGATAATCTGGGTACATTCTTTCACATGCACTTAGTTTAAACATTAAGTAGAGCAAATGAAATCGGTCAGACATCTTCTTTTCCAACTGCGCAATAAGAAGAGAAAGAGATAGAACGAAAAATCAAATATGAATTTCGAGGTTTTAATGATGAAGGAAAGAAATGTTCGACATGTGTACGAAACAGAAAATAGATAGATATTGCACAAGAAATAAAGAAGAGAAGAGAGAGAGAAAAAAAAGGACCTATATATACGTATAGAGAGATAGCGCATATAGTTAGTACACAAATATCCTTCGCGAGTTTTCTTTTTTTTTTTCTTTTACTTACTTGACGTACGCAAAAAAGTGGTCATTTTCTGTTGGAATGATCTCGAGAACAAAAAGCCACAAAACACTCGTTCAAACGTGAACCACAAGTATCGAGATCCAACTCGTACCATTTTTAGTCAGACCATCTATAGAACCTATCGTTCGTCTACAATTGGACTTCGAAAATCACGATTTTGACAAAATTTACTGTTGAGATAATTGGTAACGATCGAATCTTTTTTAGAAAAAAAAAAAGTGATTTATTGTTCTTATTTGTGTAGCTCTTTTATTAAGTGCATTAAAACAAGAATAAATATGTTTTTCTTCTTTTCATTTTGTCCCTATATGAAACTATATTTGTAGATTTAATCATATACAGTGTTTTTGTTTTTTTTTATTTGGAATTTGCAAATAACAAAAAAGGAAAAATCTAAACAAATGGCTAAACCAGTCGATCCAAATAAAGAAGATCAATACGCAACAGCTATATTAAATCGTAATGAACGTCCAAATCGTTTAATTATTGATAATGCTATTAATGATGATAATAGTGTTGTTACATTATCACAACAAAAAAATGAATGAATTACAATTATCTCGTGGTGATACGGTTTTACTTAAAGGCAAAAAATGTCGTGAAACAATATGCATTGTTCTTGCTGATGATACATGTCAAAATGATCGTATACGAATGAATCGTGTTGTACGAAATAATTTACGCGTACATTCAAGTGATATTGTTTCAATTCAAGGTTTAAAAGATGTTAAATATGGTAAACGTATAGATGTTTTACCTATTGATGATACTGTACAAGGAATAACAGACAATCTATTGAACGTTTATTTAAACCCATATTTTGCTGAAGCTAATAGACCAGTAGGTGAAGGTGATGTTTTTATTGTACATGCAGCTATGCATGCTGTAGAATTTAAAGTAATTGAAACTAAACCAAGTCCGTATTGTATTGTTACATCACATACATTTATTCATTGTGATGGTGATCCCATCAAACGTGAAGAAGAAGAAATATCTTTAAATGAAATTGGTTATGATGATATTGGTGGTGTTAGAAAACAATTAGTACAAATTAAAGAAATGGTTGAATTACCATTGAAACACCCACAATTATTTAAAACAATTGGAGCTAAACCACCACGAAATATTCTTTTATATGGACCACCAGGCACAGGTCTGATAAAAATAATAGAACGATTTTTAGAAAAAAAAAGAATTATTTTAGGTAAAAGTTTAATTGCACGTGCAGTGGCTAATGAGATTGGTGCATTTTTCTTTTTAATCAATGGACTGGAAATTGAGTCTAAATCAGCTGGTGAATCTGAATCTAATTTACGTAAAACATTTGAAGAAGCTGAAAAGGTAAAATTTTATTAGTGAAAATTCCAGGAATAGTTCGAAGGTGACAGATTCGAACATTCATATAACGTGTCCAATAAATAGTCATCCGACATTTTGAGATTAGTTCCATTATAGACATTAAATTTTCACTCAGATATTTTTTAATTATTATTGTATATTTATGTTTAGAAATCTCCAGTTATTATTTTTATTGATAAGCTTGATGCAATTGCACCAAAACGTGAAAAAACTCATGGTGAAGAAGTTGAACGTCCTATAGTTTCACAATTATTAACATTAATAGATGGTCTTAAACAACGTTCAAATGTGATTGTTATGGCAGCAACAAGACAACAAAATTTGATTGATCCAGCAATTCGTCATTTTGGTTGTTTCGATCGAGAAATCGATATTGGTATTCCTAATGCTGTTGAACGTTTAGAAATTCTTCGTATACATACAAAAAATATGAAATTAGATGGTGATGTTAATCTTAAACAAATTAGTAATGAAACACATGGTTATGTTGGTGCAGATTTAGCATCATTATGTTCAGAAGCTGCTTTACAACAAATTCGAGAGAAACAGCATGTTATTGATTTAGAAGAACATACGATTAATGCTAAAGCACTCAATTCATTAGTTATTACACAAGAAAATTTTCGATTTGCATTAAATCAATCAAATGCATCAGCTTTACGTGAAATAATTGTTGAAGTACCAACAACAACATGGGAAGATATTGGTTGTTCAAACGGTGTTAAACTTGATTTACAACAAATGGTTAAATATCCTTTTCAACATCCAGGAGAATTTCTCAAATTTGATACGACGCCACCACGTGGTGTTCTCTTATATGGACCACCTGGTTGTGGTGAGTCATTAGAATTATAATTATTTTAAAATTTATCTTTTGATATTTGATTTTAGGTAAAACATTAGTAGCCAAAGCTATTGCTAATGAATGTCAAGCTAATTTTATTTCGATAAAAGTTTCTGAATTATTAAGTATATGGATTGGTGAACCAGAAGCTAATGTTCGTGATGTATTTGATAAGGCTCGTCAAGCAGCACCATGTATACTCTTTCTTGATGAATTAGATTTAATCGGTAAGATAAAAAGAAAATTAATGAAGAGTACTTTTTTTCTTTTTGGTTAAAGCTCGTGATGGGAGCGCTGGATATGGTGGTGATGCAGCTCATCGTGTTATTAATCAAATTTTAATTGAAATGGATGGTATGAATGCAAAGAAAAATGTTTTTATCATTGGTGCCACTATTGGATGGGATATCCTTCATCCAACATTTTTTAAAACAGGTAAAGATATATATCTTCACCTGTCCGACAGTGGTTTTTTCATAAACTTTTTTATTTATTCAGGTCGTTTCGATCATTTAATTATTATTCCATTACCCGATGAACAATCGCGCTTAACAATTTTTAAAGCTTGTTTAAAAAATTCACCTATAGCTGAAGATGTCGATTTTCATTATTTGGTTAATAAAACGAACAAATTTACTGGTTCTGATATCAAGAATATCTGCTTAAGAATAGGTCAATTAGCTGCACGCGAATTTATCGAAAAAAAACAAGAACATATAAATCAAACAACAACAGATTCAACAACATTTAATCAATCATCAAAAATTAGCCACTGCCACTTCGACAAAGTTATTAGTATTGCTATCTCATCGGTCACAGACGATGAGATAAAGAAGTTTGAAATGGTTCGCGAGCGGCTTGGGGCATTCTACGTTTTCAAGCCACAATCATTTTGATGATTTTGGAACTTGAGTTTTAATTTTTTTTTAATAAATATTATAAAAACATACAATTGTCTTTTTAATTTCAATCTGAATATAGGAGAAAAAAAGGCACTTGATTTCAACTTGAAAGCAGGGACTACGAAAGAACATTGAAATGATTATAATGCATTGATCGATTGGCTGTTATAAAAATGTATATTTAACAATATCTATATTCAATCAATCAGCTCACAAAGTCATCTTGCGCTTCAGTTTCAAAACTTGAGCAACTTGTTATTAATCGTATATAACTTATATCGATCAAATTTATCAATGATCTATAATCCGAATCATGAAATGGTTAAAAAAGAGGAATATAGTATAAAAAGAGAGTTACCACCACAATTAAATAGTACACCACCACCAAAGAAAAAAATAAGAAATGATGGAATATCAACTTTACTAACTCCACTATCGTCCAGTGAATATTCATCTGCTGCAACGAAAATGAGGGTAAGATATCTTATATATTGTTGATCTGAATATTTCAACTTATTGATTTTATTTTAGGAAAAAATGGGTTATGATAAAAATCGTGATCTGGTCTTAATGCTCAAGGTCCAACAAAAATAATTGAAGAAAGTAAACAAAAAGGACGTCGTGGTCTTGGTTTTACATTCAAAAACTTTGATGACGAAACAACAGAATGGGATTTTGATAATGATCCCGTAAATACAAAGTTCATGCATCTTTCCATTGATATTTTATTTGATATTTTTAGGCTCCTATAGAAGAAGAAGAAGTTCGTCGGTGTCCACCAAATAATCATATAGAAGCTCCATTAAATCTCGATGAAATGCGCGAATGGATTAAACTTGGACTAGTACAGATAAAATAAATATTTTTTCAAAAACAAAAATAATTGTTTTATTTTTTTAAATTTAGAAAAAGAAAGTGATCGATGATGAAATTGAATTTTGTGATGAAGATATACTTAAAGAAATGTTAAATGGAAAAGTAAATTATTTTTTTAGAAAATAATTTTATTCATAATCTATTATTTTAGACTGTATTTGATGAATTACCACAAAAAGAAATGGAAGAAGCTCGAGCACGAAGTAATGTCTATGAAACAATTGGACAATCAATTTTTCTCAATCGGTATATGAGACAAAAATCATATCATAGATGATTTTATTTATAATAAAATAGAGCTGCACTAAAAATGGCTAATATTGATTCTGTATTTGGACGAATGTTTACCGATCCAAAAACTCCTAATAATCAAGTCATTTCATTTCGTTTAATTTCTATTCTTATTAATAATAGATTTTTTTTAGAGACCATTAGTTCATCCTGATGAACCATTTTATTTTGCTGATATTTGTGCTGGTCCCGGTGGTTTTAGTGAATATATTTTATGGAAAAAAACAATGACGTTCAAAAGGTATATTTATTATTTATTAACTTTTTGTATTTTAACGATTGTTTTTTTTCCCTAGGTTTTGGTTTTACATTAAAAGGCAAATCAGATTTTGCTCTTCAAAAATTTCTTGCTGGTACATCTGAAACATTTTATCCATATTATGATGTCAAAGATCTTGATTGTGATGGTGATATATTTAAATCAGAAAATATAGATGCTTTACAAAATTATGTAAATAAATGTACAATGCATAATGGTGTACATATTGTTATGGCTGATGGAGTAACTTGAAAGAAAACAACAAAAAAAACTAATTCATTTATTTTGTATTGTTTATTTAGAGATTTTCGGTAGAAGGACAAGAAAATATTCAAGAAATTTTAAGCAAACAATTATATTTATGTCAATTTCTAACAGCTTTGTCAATTCTTCGACCAGGTTAGAAAAATTTTTCAGGAAAGATTTTCAAGTGTGAGTCTTTATTTTCATTCGATGAGTTGATCATAAAAACATAAAGCGTTCTTCTCCATAGACTATTATTGAAGATTCAGATCGATCTTAACATAGAAAAATCACTGAAAGCTATCATTTGAGATTTTGCTTCGATTTCAGCATTCAAAACTTTAGTATTGTATATCCCGTGACTGTCTGTGCGTATCTATTCTTTTTTTGTTAGTTATTTAATATCTTTAGGTGGTCATTTTGTTTGCAAATTATTTGATGTATTTACTCCATTCAGTGTGGGACTTGTTTATTTAATGTATCGTACATTTAATCAAATATCTATTCATAAACCAGTTACAAGTCGACCAGCAAATTCTGAACGGTAAAAAGAAAAATAATTCTCTCGTTTTTTTTTCAAAACTTCAGATTTTTATTTTATTTTTTATAGATATATTATATGTAAAGGTCTTCATGAAGATATTCGAGATATTGTACGGGCATATATGTATGAAATAAATGTTCTTCAGAATAAATCTAATGCTAATTCTGAAGATAATGATGTTCAATCAATTGTTCCAATGCATATTTTAAAAGGAAATGAAAACTTTTATGAATATATTCGAGATTCGAATAATCAGTAAGTTTAATTTATTAGATGTTGAAGAATTTAATTAAATATAAATTAATTTAGATAGGGTGAACATCAAATAAGAAATTTAAGAAAAATTCGTGCTTTTGTTAGCAATGCAACTTTGAGAGATAATCGACAAAATGAAGTTCGTTCAAAATGTCTTCAATTATGGAAGGTTAGAATTTGTTTTTAAAAAAAAATATATAAAGAATAAATTTTGATTTTAAGATTCCAGATGAACCACGACAAAAACCACGAAGATTGCATTATAATGATCTTCAAAATAATATTTTTTATCAAGTAAATAATTTTATCATATTTTTTTTGTAAAATAATTTAATTATTTAGCTTGATAATGGTATTGAAAATGTTCTTTTGAATACACCAAATTTATTTAAAAATTCTGTTCTTGATCAACATCAAATAGAATCATTATTTGATTATCGATGTGTATATTCATTAGATGATCCTGTTCTACTTTTATCATGTGGTGTAAGTCTTTTTGCTTTTTTTTTTTAATTTCTATTTTATATTATTTTTTTTTTTAGAGAAGTTTTGTTTTTGCTATGGAATTAAGAAACAAAGATAAACAATGGATACCAGGATACCATTAGAACGAACACAATTTAGAAATGAATTACCACCATATACATTATTATTGGCTGAACGTGCTCAAGAACAATTTAATGATGTAAATATAAAATAGGCTTTTTTTTTTTGTTCAGATTGAAAATGATGATGAGATTTTTTTTAGAGTAGACATAATCGTCCACGACCAGCAATTTATATAATTGATGCATATTTTATTGCTAATGAAAATATTCTTTTTCAAAATGAACGCCCAATGGTTTTTGTGGATCGGTAAAGATAATTATTTTAATTTAGTATAATACATTTGATTGAAATTCCTAGATATCGTTTGTTGAAATTGTTTGAAAAAGCAATTAATAAACCAGCTCGTGGTGATCTTGTGCCTATTCGAATCAGTGAACAATTACGTTTGGAACAGATGGATGTAAAATTTGAGAAGTATGTTTAGTAGGAAAATTATTCATGAAAAATTCATAAGATGGAAAGAAAATCCAGTTTTTTATGGAAATCTAATGTGAATCTGAGAAGTCGATTTTCAAATATAACTTGATCTAGTTTTATCTATCCACTAGTATGAATGAACAATTGTTAGTCCATTCTCTATAAGATCGATACATGAATCATAATGGAATTGTTTATATTGTCAACAAGCAAGGGGGAAACAGCTGATTTTGAGCGATGGAATCAGCAGGAATCACTAAAATCTCCGTAATCGCTCGAAATCAGTAGAATCATTAGAAATCTCTTAAAATCAATATGGCATCCCTTAGAACCATAGAGAATCAATGCGAAATCCTAGAGCCTCCTGAAATTCTCATGAACCATACAAAACCACTTGGAATCACATAGAAACAATGTAAAATCTCTCAAAGTTTCCTAGAATCAAACAGATTCAAGGTGAAATCACTCTTATTCATTTTTATCTTGTCTGTCTATATTTCGAAACCTGTACCATAAATGACACTAAAATCGTATGTAATGTGGATCACCCAAAATGGAGAAATAGACGAAATAAAAATAATTTAAAGTGATTCTACATTACATCTGAGCAATTCTGGGTACTATCAAATGATTCTGTTGTCGAAAAGCAACTGTTTTCTGGTTTTCATAGAATCCGTGGAATCATAGAATCAGCTGTTTCCTTATTGTCAACAAGTGTATTTAGTGTTCTGAAGTTTAAGCTCAAACTAAATTGAAACTTATAAAGTGTATTGCATATCTTAATCAAATAAAAGCTAGTTGAGGAAAAACATTTTAGTGTTTTGAAATATAACATCTAAAAATTGTGAAATTTCTCGGTTGAAGTATAAAATGACAGGTTTGATTACGAGAGAATCTTTCGACATGTTCGAGCCATTTTGAATCCAATTTTTTGGTCATAAGTAGATCTCGATAAAAAACTTGTTCGTTTGATCTTCTGCGAAATGATGCATCCTTTGCTAAACATAAAAAAAAACCAAACTGTATTAAGATATACCTATGATTTATAGATAAAGTCAAAAAGATTCTAAGAGTTTCTTACATCCTTATCTTTTTGTTGGAAATCGTTTCTTATTTGTTTAGATTATGCCCTAATGGATCATTGGATCGAATTGATAATGACGGATTATAGTTTACTAATGTAGATATTGAAAGTAAACCACGCATACAAGTTCGTGGTTTATGGATATCTAAATTTATTCAATGTACATATAAAAAATATTTTATCCGGCTTTTTTTAAATTAATTAATTAATTAATTAAATATAGATCCATGGAAAATTTTATTAAGTAAATCTAATCAATCAAAATTTTTTCATAGTCAAGCAAATCGTACATCAATACAATCTGCTCCATCTGATTGGTCTCATGTATCTTCTTTAAGGTAATTTCTAAGTAAAATTTTATTTAAATATATATATATTCATGTTTTTAGACCGATGCTTGAAAACAGTTTTTATTCGGATTTTAATCATGGTGATGATTCTGTAAAAAAATCCAATTTTATTGCATTTATTCAAGAAAAAAATCGTGAAATTCAATCCCAACAACGTGTTAATAATCACAAACCTGTTAGTGATACTAATTAGAATAAAAATATTCTATGACATTATTTTTGTTTTAGTGATGATTAGAAAAAAAAATCTTGTTAATTTATGAAAAAGAATTATTCACGATTTTTGTTTTGTTCATGTATATAAACTAAACATTAAATCCTCTGTGTATATGCGATAGATAAAAAAAAGAAAACAAGGATAATTTCTCATTAAACAAAACAACTTTGTGTGATTATATGTATCTGATCTGAATTTGATTCTTTTCGGTTTAAAGAAAAAAAAAATCATGTGTATTCTCTATATTATTTTTATACAATCACGGTAAACTTTATTTATATAAGATAGAAACTTCGCNTAATACAATGACTAAATGTTCTTGTTTTTGAAAACTACTTAGTCATATGAGAAATAATGCAATACTGTTCTATTATTTAGAATTTTTTTTTCATTTAATCATTATATAAAAACTCACGTGCTAATTTATAATATAATTAAATAAATAGCATATCAAACAAGTGGTTGTAGCACTTCTTTCTAAAATTTATGTCATTATTCAGATCTCTAATTTGAATTTACGGACATTACCTAAATTAAAATTTGTCATTAAATCAATCAGAAATGTCATTTAATCTCTTACATACACGCATTAATATAGTATTTGTAATGACTATCAATGTGATGTTATTCATTAAATAAAACCTTAACAGCAATAAGTGAACTTGATTTTTCTTGGTTGAGGTTATCATCCCTTTCTTTTTTTTTGAGTATTTCTGGTACTCAAAGATAGTAGAACCGATCAAATTGAAATTTTTATCATAGATAGAGCACCAAAAGCCAGGAAACATGTATTCAAAAGAAAAGGTTTAAAGTAAGGTTTTGCGGTTTCTTTTGGGGAAATTTCAGTTTTCCATAGAGCTACATTCGGGTTGCTTACGATTTCCCTACTAACTTTGTTCAATCAAATTGAAATTTGTACCACTGACACTTGAACGTATTCTTTAGAGATCAAATCGAGCGTTTTCGTTTTTGGCTTTCGAACTCGGATTTACAGGATCCGAAAAAGCCAAGATCTCGGTTTTGGCACTGAACTTTTATATATATCTCTCATTAAAAACTGAGTTCTTGGAAAAAGCTTAAAACTACTTCGGAAACATAACCTTAGGTATCTCCAAAAACAGGATAAAGAAATCATGAAATAACTATACTTGTGAACAGTATTTAAAAAATTGATCTTTACATTCTAATATAACTTTGTTCGATATAAAAAAATTTGTATATAGAAAACGTAGAGATATGGAAGGCAAATATAAGAAAGAAAATATAAATATAAATATAAAAAATATGCAGCCGTCTTGTTAATATTACTGACTTTTATACATCGATAGGTTTCGTCAAATACTTGCTCATTTGATAGTTTTGCTATGAATATTTTTAGCGACGCTTATGGTATCAATTGAAGAATTCATGAGACTATAATTTAATATAGATTTTAGTTTTTTTATAGCGATAACATGACTTTTCGTATCTTTAGTTATTTCAACAGTATTGATAAATTTTATTGAGATTATAGATATCTAAGAAATTCATTCAGCACATAGAATGGACACATATGATTGTTTTTAAATTATTAATAATATTATAGAAACTTCCAAGTAAGTTTTCCAATTTTTGATAAATTTTTTACAATATATATAAAGTCATCGATAGCTATAGCATTATTCAATTCTTTTTATTTATTTATTTATTTTTGACATTTGCTTTGCTAGTTGTTATTTTACGAATTGGATGAAATTTCACTAAATCTTTATAAACAACGAAATAAGGCAATGAGTTACAATGATTCTTATTCTTATTGAACATATGACAGAAGATCCATGAACAGGCAAACTCATCAAATATTGTATTTTCTAAAATTCTAATTTGATTTATATCCTTAATATGAATAAAATAATTTATTTTAATGAAAAAAGAAAAATGACAATATTTAGCAGATAAACACTTTTTTGTGTAACTTTCTTATCTAAATTAATGTTTATCAAAAGAAAAACAGTCATCGTTGGAAAATTTCTTTAACTCTTTAAGTACCATCGTTCCGAATAAGGAACATTTTCAAATTTCTTAAATTTTGAATAACTCGCGAACGCAAAAAGACATTGAGATGCAGTTTTCTCTATAACATATAAGAGATTTCGATGCATACATCTATATAAGAATTCTAATCCTAATAAGGTTCCTCAGATAGTAAGTCTGGTGGGATTTTAGACCGTCAACTCTATGCTAAAACGGAGAAGGGCGGATAATGCCCTTTGCAGTTAGCAAAATATTTCGGTTTTCTGTGATGGAATCAAGTTAGGAGTGACGCCTACTGATATTCCAAAGGTTGATTTTATGCCAGCTCTCAATCAAATTTCGACCCACATCCATACTTCCTCATGGGGATATTCGAAATACTTTTTCGCCATCTCCGTAAAGGAGTGCCGGTTTGGGTCGAAAAATAACCTTGAAGATTTTTAAAAGAATTTGATGAAAATATATAATACACAGTGTCCATCTTAAACATAAAATCTCAAAGAAACTTCATCCATTGGCTGAACCATGAGCCTGAAAGGGTTAATGTAATGTTTATTTTCTCAACAAGTAAGTCATATAGAATTTGTCTTCGCTGCGGTATCTGATATTTATTTAAAAGTTGCTAAGTGCTACTATTTCAGAAATATCTAGACAAACTTGTCCACTATCTACATACTAGACGACCTCCCCTACCGATAGACAATAAATGTGCCACTGATAACAATCAACAGGCTATTTACTTGCATAAATATTTATTCATATTATCGATCTTGTTCTGAAAGAAATCAATTTCATAATATCAAATTTATCTTGTCAAACATCTCAATATTCAAAAAGTCTCAATGAAATATACAAAATGATTTTTTTCTGTCATTTATGAACATTTTATTTTTATACGTTTTGTAGTTTTCACATATGCATTTCTAATCTCAAATTTTACAAACATAATCTAATATAAGGAACAATTGATTCTTTTCGTCATCGTTTACAACATTTATCATTTTGTTCAAGACAAATTTTAGTATATAAAAAAAAAGAAGAAAAGAAAAAGATATTTGAATCAATTTGAAAATGCCTATGTCTTTGCTCATCGATTCATACACTCACACACATACGCGTACAAACACAATAATCACAAAGCAAGAAAATGGAGCGCATTTTGAAAATAAAGGTTGAAATATACCAGTGAGATCATTGATAAACACGCACACGCACACACACACACGCACAAACACTATCTACATATGAAAAGAAAAAAACGAAGAAGAGAACAAAAAAAGAAGAAAAAAAAACAAATATTCAACAGTATTTAGTATTATGTTGTTGGTAAAAATCATAGCTAGCTGGATAATTTCCGACCATTTTTTGCATATGTGGATATGAACCATGTGTATGATAAGATAAATCTTGTTGAGAAGATGATGAAGATGTGTCAGACACTCCTGTTGGTGTTATTGGACATGATGAAGGTGGTTGAGTTACCATATACTGTCTAGTAGAGCCAGTAAAATAGGATTGAGTTGAATATGGCCAATATCCATTTGATGCTGTTACAGAAGACGAACCATAATCATTATTTGGTGAATAAAGATGTTGTCCGTTAAGATGATGATTATTATTACCATTTTGTATATGATGATGTGAATGAAGATGATTGGTTTTATTATTTCCATTTAATGATGATGATGATGATGAATAATTTGAAGATGCAGCTGCATAAGCAGCAGCCAATGAAACTGAACTTGATGTTGTTATTGAATCTGTACAACGAAAATTAGTTGATGATGTTGATGATGAATTTGATGAATTCGATGTTGTAGATGTGCCACCAGCTTGTTCATAGATAACAGCTGCCATTGTCATTGGATCAATGAAATTAAAATTTGGTATTGATGTTGATAAAGTATTAGTCATTGGTGGAGTTTTTGATGATGATGGTAAACCATAAGTTAATAGATGATCACCTGATTCACTCGCTTCCACTGGTTCGGTTTTTGGGGTTGTATATCCACCGGCATGTTTCTAAGTTTTTATAATAAACAAAAAAAAACATATTAAATAAAATAGAAGAGAAACGTATTGTTGTACCTTTCTTGGTGATTCTGTACAATCTGTATCATCAGTAATTGGTTCTTTACCAGCTGAATTTGATCCTTGGTTTCGAGAACGACTGGCTTTTGTGCCATTAGGTCGTGGATCAAGAGAACCATTTGTTGTTGATGTTGGACTAATTAAATTGGGTGAATTTCGTTGATGTAATTGACCTCGTTGTCGTCCTCCTCCAGATTGTTGATGTCGATGAAGATTATTTGATGATTCTTGTTTAAAACGACGTCGTCGCCGTAAAAATGAACCATTGTCAAACATATTATGTGAATCAGGATGAAGCATCCAATAGGATCCTTTGCCTATTCAGAAAAAAAAAAAAGAAGCAATGTATTATGTATAAAAAAAAAATTTTTGTCCTCTATTGTAGAGCATCTAAAACAAACCTGGTCGTTTATCATCTCGTGCAACTTTAACAAAACAATCGTTTAATGATAAATTATGCCGAATTGAATTTTGCCAACCTTGTTTATTTTCTCGATAATACTAAAAAAAATAGGAGAAATTTTATTGTTGTTTTTTTTTCTTTCCTTTTTCTTCGATAAAATTAATTAATATAAACTTACTGGATATTGATCCATAATATATTGATAAATACCATTTAAAGTACATTTTTGATCTGGACTATTTTGAATAGCCGCTGTAATAAGCGCAATATAACTCATTGCTGGTTTAGCCATTTCTTTTGAATTAACTGATGACATTGCATATGGATAAGCAGCCGGTGGACGTGATAGTAAATGATATGGATCACCATAACCTGTATATGGATTTGTTTGATGGACACCATAGGATTGTACGGATGCAGATGATGGTTGTACTAATCGATTTGTTGCTGATGATGGAGGTAATTGCGG